ATGAAGCTAACCTCCTCCCTCTAACCTGGTACCTTTAGATTACATGAGCTAGGCTAACAAAGAAACTCACACCTTCCCTCCCACACACACACCTGGTGGTCTCAGCGGCCATTTTGAGTAGTTTCTTTGTTTACCGCCATCTTGTGTGGTCTTCTTTGTTCAGGTCATGTGGTCACAGTGATCACTTTGAATCGGCCATCTTGCCCACACAGACACACACACATACCCCTACACACACACATACACACACCTGTATATACTAGATCAGACATTGTGTTTTACTCTGCTCCATGGTAAATAAATGTCTTTAAGTATAACTACTGGTGTGTTTAATGTTGCACAAGCGTGAATATTGCCAACCTCTACTTTGTAGAATTCCAATCCTTCAACTTTAACTTACTGTCGACATGGTAATTTGGTTATAGTTATTAAGCTAATTGTTCATCAGAGTTTCAGATTAATGGTAACAAATTCAGACTGAAACCATATTGGTTGTTTTGCCTATTAGTTTAGGCTGGTGCCCCGAGGACTTTAATTAATTTTAAAGTTATTTAATATTAATATTTTTAATATTAATATTTTTCTTAATTTATAATAGCCAATAAATTGATAGACAACCGAAATCCAACATATTTGGTGTCCTGCTCATGAGGCAGAGCTCAGACCCAACACCTACTAACAAAGAAGAGTTGATATTACTCACTTTTTAAAAGTAATTAGCTGTTTAATGTATTGAGAATTTTTAGGTAAATTTGACCTGATTTCTTTTAGTTTGTCATGGCTGTTCATTTAGGTACACTTTACTCAAAACATGGGGTGAAATCTACTCAAGCAAAGCGAGTGCAAATTGTTAACTCACATTTATTTAGTAGATTGTATTGGTTTGTTTTTACAGTGTATGGACATGTTTCATTTGCAAGTTATTTTCAAACACAACATCAGTTTCCACAGTTTCACTGATAAATATGTGATTCTATATTATATTAAAGTGCAGTAATTAAGGCAGCTGGTTTATTACATGTTACATGTTGGTGTTCAACAGCTTCCTACAACTGACTGAGTCTAGAGCTGAGATCCTTTTATTTTCTGTGAAGGAAGTGAAATTAAATTTTTTTAAATTGTTGTTTAATGTTAATGATAATGTTCATAATCTCAATATAAATATTGGACAAATAACAATTTCATTCATTGTCAGCTGACTTCAGTGCACAATCTCCACTTTAGGAGTATACAGTATATTGTGCAATTACTGTTTTCACAAATCCTGAAAAGGCCACCACCATTTAATTGACCACAGCTACCTTTTTCTAACTCCTAATCACCAAAAAAAAAAGAAAAGAAAAACATTCTGCTCCAGTCTGTTCACCAGGAGGAAGTGTCACAGAGAGAAGAGAAAATACAGATCTGAGAGGAGACGGAGAGATTCAGGGAGGAGCTGAGCTGTTACTGAACTATAGAAGAGAGAGGAACTTCCATATTCAGCACAGTTCAATATACAAACCATCAACATTACCTTTATTCAACCATGCTGTCATTGGACTATCATGGGACTGTCTCTACTGTTTCTCATCCTTTTATCAGGTATATTATATTTGCATTTTAAAGGTCAATTTCAAAGTGTTTGAAGAAATTAAATTACTAGAACTTTTGTAACGTTATAAAAACAACACATTTCTCTTCTTTTAGGAGTCAGCTGTGAAAAACTGATCTCAGTCAAGACTGAAGAGTTCAGTTCAGAAGCATGTTACTCTGTCCTACAACTACTCCACACAAAGGCAGCTGGTAATGATTATTTCTTCTGGTATCGACAATATCCCAGGAAAACCACCAGAGTTCCTCATCTCTCACACAAGGACAGGAAAGAAGCATCAGATCCAGTCTCTGGACTGTCTTTTTAAAGTGATGTGAAGATCAAACCAGAATGGATCTGAACATCTCCTCTGCTGCAGTGAACTGACTCTGCTTGTGTACTACTGTGCTCTGAGGCCCACAGTGACAGGAAACACCAAAACTCTGTACAAAAACCTTTGGAGCAAAGACAACACAATACTCCACAACATCCACTAGAGGGAGTCACACACTGTGAAAACACTGAGTTTTCAGAGACTGTGTCTGTGACTGACGAACACAAACATCACAAAAACTAAACCAGAAATATAAAGACAGTTAAATCTCCACTGAGGAAGGAGCAGATAGTGATTACCTGGCCCCGCCCACTTTAGTCCACCTCAGCCAATGAGATTCTTGTGTGTCCAGAGCAGAAATGTTTGAGGAACTAAAAGCACAATCAGCTTGATGTTGAGGAGAAGGGCTGTGCAGCAGAGAGCTGTTTAGTTCTTCATTCTACTGCAGTGGAAGAACATTGTTCATCTGCTGTCTGTTTTGGCTTCAACTCCTCCAAAGACATGTTGCTTTACCTCTTTTGTTTTTCTCCACTTCATAGGTGAGTTTGACAAACAAATCAGTTGTTCTCAGTTAACCTGCTGTATCAACAAGATAATTTGACCTCCATTTTTATCACTTTCACAGTTGAAACTTCACAATAATCTGTCTTTGTCATGAAAGTCCTGTACAATCTAGTTATGATGTGAGCTACAGTTGAGCTTTGTGTCCACAGAGTAACACTGTACAGAGACATTTTCCACTGTCTTCTCCTCTCAGCCTCATGGACAATGTTAGTCTAATGCTTTCATTCTCTCTACTTTTTCCAGGACTAATAGCGAGGGACACAATCTCTCCTGCAAGAGATGAAGTCAGTGGAAGAGAAGGAGAACTGTCACACTCTCATGTCAATATCAGACAACCTATGGAATCCTATACCTTTACTGGTACAGACATGATTCTGACCTTCAGGCACCTCAGTTTATACTCTGGAAAGGAGCAAAGGGCAGGACAACTGAATATAATCCTACCCCGAGTCGATATCAATCCAAAAACAACAGGCACATCAACTGAACTGACCATCAGCAGACTAACCTGAACGACACAGCTCTCTACTACTGTGCTCTAGAAACACAGTGATACAAAGGTAGAAGAGGCTGTACAAAAACCTGAACACAGATATCTGATCCTCTTCAAAGAGGAGGGAAGTGGTTTTCAAACCACAGCTTCATATCACATGGATTCTGCTACTTCCTGTTTTATCAGAGTCACTGTGGTTACAGCTGCTAATCAAACACTGTGGGAGGATTCACATGAGCAGCTGATCCACATCAATGACAAACCAACTGGATGATGCTTCAAACACAAAGACTCATGAAAACAAATGCCACTGACTTACTCCCTTAATCTTCATACTCTGTGGGGCATTAGGCCAAAATCAGCTGCTTCCATTGTTCACCATCCTTGACAAAATGTAGAGCGAAACACCAAATACACACTGAAGCATTAACTAATAAAACTCTGAAATCAACAGCACTTTATATTCAAACATTGAAATTTAAGAAAAACTCAAAGTGGAATCAAACTAACAACTGGAGTTTCATCAAGTTTCAACATCACATGATTTAAACTTCCACATTCACTCCACCATCTTTGTATTTGACCAACAGATACTGAACCGTCAGTTACATTGAAGAGAGAAACACTGTGAAAAGAACAAGAGTCACATGTTGCTCAAATTCATCCTCAGTTTAACCTGTAATCTTTCTGATAAAGATGTTAAAGAGGCTGCAGCAGCTTCACAACAATCAGCAGCTTTTATCTGCTCAGGAACAAAGTGAATCTGCAGCAGCGTTGTAAAACAGAAACACGTCAGCTGAAATGTCCAATCATGACTACATACAACACAAGTTTAGACCAGGAAAGGAGAGAGTACAAACATTGTTTAGTGTAAAGTTGTCAGTTGGGGGAATAACACAGGGCTGTGAATGAGCCCTGTCACTGTGATCAGGCTCCTCCTTCTGATCCACCATCTTAGTGTTGATGAAGACAAACTGAGAAGACCCACAGCCTGCTTTATACTTTGCTGTAGCTCACAGTGACTCAACACGTCAGACATGATGCCTCTGTTCATCTCAGTGCTGCTGGCTGCTATGTGCCTTGGTATGAACACTACAGTTCTGTGATATCAATCCAACACTGACATGATTCTGTAACAGCACACTGATACTGTTTGTTGTGTTTTACAGAATGCAGAGCACAAAAAGAAAACGTGCTGCAACCAAAAGGAGACGGTGACCGCTACTGAAGGAGAAGCGAGTAACACTTGACTGTCGATATAACAGCAGTTCAAAATACTCAATATCTCTACTGGTACAAACAGGATGGAAACCACAGCCCCAAATTCATCCTGAGCCGCATTAAACTGGATGAAGGAAACACAGCAGACGACCACAAGGGAGAATTTTCATCCACTCTGAATTCCCACGTCAGATCAGTTCCTCTGAAGATCCAGAAGCTTAAGGTGTCTGACTCTGCTTGTACTACTGTGCTCTGAGGCCCACAGTGACAGAAACACCAAAACTCTGTACAAAAACCTTTGGAGCAAAGACAACACAATACTCCACAACATCCACTAAGAGGGAGTCACACACTGTTACACTTCAAATGGTTTCTTATTGATCCAGTCTAGATGCAGTTGACAACAGAAACTGAGCAAAAAAGCCACAATTGATGGATGAGAGTATTGCTGCTATCATTTTAAATCTTTACATGAGAATCATCAATCTGGATTCAGGAGAGAAAAATCAGCTGATCAGAGAGTTGATCACAGTGGTGACAATAAACACAAAGTCTGAATGTATAATCTACAATGTTTTAGCCTGAATGGTGATAATTGCACTTCACTTATTCTTCTTCTTCTTCTCTGAACAGGTTTCACATTCACAGTCAAGACTTTCTCTACGTTTGCCAGCAGTGGAGCTTTGAGTTTCCAGAAAGTTGTCCTCTTTCTCTCCAGATTGATTCAGGTGAATTTTCTGCAGGTTTCTCCTTCAGTCTGACCTTCCTGGAGGATGATGATGATGATGATGATGATGATGATGATGATGATGATGATGATGCAGCATCACTGTCATTTCTAAAGCTTCCATCAGTCTGAATGGAAACAGAGCACAGCAAGAGGAGGAGCTACACAACTCAATATGAAAGGCTTCATTTCAGACCTGAGAGCTGCTGAGTTCTCTCTATTGTTCATTCAGTACAAGTGAAAATAATGCTGCTGCTTTTAGTTTGGATCATGATCGTCTCCTTTCATTCTGGTAAGTTCTCAAAACATAAAGCAACATCTGAGAGTTAGTAGATGTTCATGGAAAAACAGGCTCTTTGGATTAAATACATTTTTAAAAAATTACCTTCAGTCTCAAAATGTTTGAATATTTAATCCAAGCGTCATGTTGAAATATCTTTTTGTGTTTTTCAGGATCCTCTGAGGATTTAGTGAAACCATTTAAAGATGAAGTGATGGGTTCAGAAGGAGACACTGTGACTCTCTCCTGCAACTATTCAGGCTCTGTAGAAAGACTCTACTGGTATCAACAGAAGTCCAGTTCATCTCCACAGTTTCTCATCGCAGATTATTCAGAGAACACACCAGGACTATCTTTACAACATGACAAGAAAACTAGAGAGTTTCATCTGAACATCTCCTCTGCTGCAGTGACTGACTCTGCTGTGTACTACTGTGCTCTGAGGCCCACAGTGACAGGAAACACCAAAACTCTGTACAAAAACCTTTGGAGCAAAGACAACACAATACTCCACAACATCCACTAGGGGGAGTCACACAACGTTACACTTCAGGGCTCCATACATCACTGACAGATCACACAATGTGACTTATCACCATAACATGGTTGGTACCACAGACTCTGGAATCAACTGCTTTTCTTCTCATCTATATCAAAGATGTTTCCTTGTTGTTCTTTCCAGCTGTGATTTTTTTATGGTGTACCACAGGGTTCAATCATAGCTCCTCTCATTTTCAATGTACGTGTACTTGTGATCAAATCCTTTCTAAATAAATCATCAGTTTCCATTGTTTTACAGACTGTCTGTGATTATATATTATATTAAAATCTTTCCTGCAACATATGAGTCTAGAACAAAGATCCTTGTACTCGCCCCTACAATTCAGTAAAACAGGTAAAATCAATTCTTTCCGAACTGTCTGTCGATTAAACTGCTGATACTCTGTGTGTAATATTGTGTGATGACCTTCCTTTTCATCATCTGATGATAATCCTGAAAAGGTGATCTATCCTTTAAATCATCACAGAAAACATTTTGTAAATCTGAAAGTAATGGTACAAATATCTGCTCCAGTCTGTTCACCAGGAGGAAGTGTCACAGAGAGAAGAGAAAATACAGATCTAAGAGGAGACGGAGAGATTCAGGGAGGAGCTGAGCTGTTACTGAACTATAGAAGAGAGAGGAACTTCCATATTCAGCACAGTTCAATACACAAACCATCAACATTACCTTTATTCAACATGCTGTCATTGGACTATTATGTACTGTCTCTACTGTTTGTCTCTACTCTAACAGGTATGTGAGATCATGCAGCAAAATGAATGTAAATATTGTATTGAAACATTTACATCATGTTATAACAGAGTTCTCTGTTTCTTTAGGAGTCAGCTGTGAAGAACTGACTCCAATGAAGACTGAAGAGTTCAGTTCAGAAGGCAGCACTGTTACTCTGTCCTACAATTTCTTAAAAAAAGGAACTGGTCTTGATTATTATTTCTTCTGGTATCGACAATATCCAGGGAAACCACCAGAGTTCCTCATCTCTCATCAGGAGTCAGGAGAAATACTATCAGATCCAGTCTCAGGACTGTCAATTACAGTGAGTGGTAATAAAACCAGAATGCATCTGAACATCTCCTCTGCTGCAGTGACTGACTCTGCTGTGTACTACTGTGCTCTGCAGCCCACAGTGACAGGAAACACCAGAACTCTGTACAAAAACCTTTGGAGCAAAGACAACACAATACTCCACAACATCCACTAGAGGGAGTCACACACTGTTACACTTCAATGGTTTCTTCAAACTCAGAATGACAAAGTTTTGTTTCACTCAACACAAACTCTGATAATATTGACGTGTTGTGGGATGTTATAACTGAATGTAACAATTTCACTCTGACGTCTAATGAAGCTGAAGTTAAACTGTGTAGGGAGAATATTTTTGTGAGGTTTTTTCTGATAATACTGACATTGAAATAAATATTTGAGTAAAACTTTAAATATTTAAAAAATCAAGTAATCATATAGAGGTTGTGTCATCTAATATTCTGTTACTTTGAATATTTAATAGATTTTGGTTAGAATGGATTTTATTCTTGTCCATATAAAATAAAATTTTGTGTTATTTTCCAAGGTTGTGATTTATTGTGGTGTACAACATGGTTCAATCCTAGTTCTTCTCATTTTCCACTGACATGATTCCTTTGCATCAAATTACTTTCATACTACATCAGTTTCCATTGTTTCACTGACAATATATGATTATATACACTCCTGATCAAAATCTTAAGACCA